GGGATTGTGTCCGCCGTCTCTCGACAAAATGCTCTTCCGATTGTCCATTTTCAAGCCAAGTCAAGTGCAAATTGGTGAAATCGACGATACCTGGCTTAAGCGATCTGCTACTGTTCGGAGCGAAGTCTTGGTGTTACCACCTCACAAGAAGAAGCGTGTCTGTCGAAAGACGTTGACTGTCAGCGGTAAGTTTATTACGGCAGATTATCACGCTCTTCTCCAAGCCCAAGCTTCCGGACGGCCTAAAGCTCGAAAGAATAAAATTCCAGTCGCTGCTGAGAATGAAGATGCTGCTAAATCGTTCGTTGTTTAAGATTGTTTACATGTATTATTGTTTTCTTCTGTCGAACCGTAAACCACCCAGGGAAGCAACAAACATGGACAGAGAGCGCATCCACCGACGCGTCCTGGAATTCCTTGCCGCGAAGATACGCCCGGCGCTGCTCGATGGCGACGCGATCGGCCTTTTCGCTTTCTTCTCTCAACATGTCGGTCAACTCTTCCGCCTAGCATTCAGCACCACCACGATCAAATTCAAGGGACATTGTCGATTCCATTCTTGAACTCTTGGAGAACATTCCAACTAAACAAATTGGAAGCACTCGTGCCTACCTTGGCAGCGGCGATGTTCGCACATCGGAGGACGACGTCAGTGTCGATGGAGACGCCGCCAATCTTGTGCACCGCACACAACTCCCGATATGAGTTGAACGTGTACGTGATTGATCCTAGATGCCATGGCGTCACTAAATGCGCCGCCTTCGCATGCGTGATTGCTACCGTCGACGAACTTTTCAGCGTACCCAAGCTCTCTGGTCGACGGAAATGCATGAGAGCGGAAATGGACGCGATCGAAACAGCATCCACCAAGTTGCCACCGTGATCCAAGATGTGGACAGTGCACTTGATAGCCCAGACGCTTTCCCCCGCGACAATAGCCAGAGCTTCCGTGTCCTAGTCGTGAGGATCAGTACTTTGTCTCTTTTCGTGGTGGTGGTGGCAACGAACCAGCGCCTTGCAATCGCGGATGGAGCGTTCGACAATGCGGGAGAGCTCAGCTGCCCACGCCTTGTGTGCTTGCTTGTGCTCTAACGTCGCAGCACCCATGGGCGAGAGTTCAACTTGAAATCGGAGAAAACCTTCCGTCGGTCGGTCAGGAAACGGCGCAACGATTTCACCAGACACGACCGCGAGCACCCGCATTCGACCAAGCTAAAACCGCATTCGCTTTGATGTTCCTGGAGACACCGACGCAGGGACATCTGCATCCGGCGGAATTCAAGCAGGCCACGGCCATCAGCTCGCTGACCCGTGTTGGCATCTGCTTTCCGGTTGGCCTTTAGAGACCCCAGCAAGAAGTCGCGCTCGTTCGTGCTCAGCATCATTGTCCTGATCGCGCGTTGTGAGTTTACTGCTCGTGATTATTGGATTGCGGCCAATTATCCGCATAACCATGCTATTCGTACATCGAATTGCCATGTTAACTTTGAGAATCGTTTCATTGAGCAAAATGCTCTAACATTCCTTCCATCTTTTATATATTTCAGCAAGTAATATTTCTCTATAAAATAATAGTTTTGCGGCTCTGTCGTCCGAAAATGTCAATACTGGAATCAAGTATAGATTTCGGCATATCACAGATCCACTGTTTGAGGAGCGAACTTCTTCAATTTTTTAGCCATGAATGCAACCCTCAATATTGATAAGTCCATGGACCGCTCGAAAAAGCTTAAGGCGATACATTTGAGAAGGTAACTTTTGTGTCGAGTTCTCAAAAAATGAAGGAGATGTGGTCAATTGAACGGAGGACACAATCGGCAAATCATGGATCCGTCACGTTAGTTATTTTTGCACTGAAAATACACTGCAAACTCTCTTACGACGTTGGGCATGTCAGATCAAACACAATTGTCACCACTTCTCCGCAAGACCAACATTTTCAAGTGCATATATAATTATTTCGCGCACTGTATCCTCCAAATTTGGCGTTATATGCTCGTACGCGTGCGCGGCCCGCACCTAGCATTTCCTCATTTTGACGCACGTCCTGTGAAGGAACGCTGACTATCGTATGCTTGAAGTGCAGGCAGCACTGTAGTCAAGACGTGATGTGTCGGTGCTCGAACCTGCGCCATTGTTTCTCCTCCAGAACGCCGTCGACACCTGACGCAGTTTCTCCATCGACTGGACGGCTTTGATTCTGCCGACCCGACCAAGTGGAGCAAAGCCATACCCATATCTACAAGATGTGTACGAGGCGGCGTTGGTGGTGAGTGTACACATCAGGCTCCATTTTAATGGACACCACCCTTGGCACCACGATCGCAAAGCTTACACCAGCACTACCACAGTCAACGAGAGAACTCGAACGGCTTTGATGGTACTGGTTACTGTGGTGGTGCTGGTAGAGTTGTTAACTGCAACGCAGCGATGGTGCGGATGGTGGCAACATCGATGATGGTGCTGCCAACCCTGGACGAGTTTGATAGTGCTATGGTACGTATCAGAGTGCCATTCTTCACACTGGAAAAGAATAGAGATGGAACTTGCCATGGAGGTGGTGCCTCGTGCATACGCCACATCACCGCCGCGCCGTCCAACGTACCCCACGAACACATCCGACACATGTGGCGAAATGAGGCCGGGCGGTGGTGGTGAACGCAGGTACAGTAACCTTGCGGGTAGTGGGATGGTCGGTGGCGGTTCATCGCAACAACGGTCCACAGGGCTTACAGGAAACTGAGCCCTACTGGGGCTCCCAATACCCTGGCGACGTCGTCAGCAACGTCGCCGTCCCCAGCCAGCATGTCCCAACCAACTTCAACTTTACCGCCTGCCGTTCGACTGGTGCTGAAGGAGATGCATTTTGACCAATGAAATGACGCCTTTTTCAATGGAGACGGGGTTTGACTGGGGAGGTTGATATGTATATAATAAATAGTACGTTTTTAATCAAGGAAGATTTGGGTTTTATTAAAGAGAATTGTTTAAGCGTGTCCATTCGGGGATAAAACGAACCATTGGAGGGAGTAAACGACGACTTGCTATGGGTCATTCATTAAAACGTAATGAGGTCCTCGCTATGGTCGTCTGGCATCTACGTCTGTCCATCCACCAATCGCGGAGGATCTTTTTGCATTATAATCGGTCGACGCTGTCAGGAAGATGGAGTTCCGCGAGTTTGAGGAGATGCTATGGAGCCTCATGGCGGCAGAGAACACCGTTCGGAACCATGCCGAGATGGTGTTCGACAACATGAAGGCAGACAGCGACCGCACCTTGCTAAGTCTACTGCATGTACGACAATCGACTCTTTATGACTGAGGGTTGACATGCGATGCTTTGTTTGTCCAGGTGATTCGATCCACGTTGAGCGACGACGTGCGCAGTTTGGCGGCTGTCCTCTTGCGCCGTGTCTTGATTCGAGACGAAGTGAGTCTGTGGACAAATGCCGCGGCGTCGACACAGCATAGCGTCAAGAACGACCTCCTCCATGTACTAACGTACGAAACCAACCGAAGCATCAGGCGGAAGCTATGCGATACAGTCGGCGAGTTGGCGTCGTCGATCCTAGAGGAAGGTGAATGGGACGAGTTGCTTCCGTGTATGTTTCAGTGGATCACGTCGACAAACGTTTCTCATCGCGAGAGCGCGCTGCGTGTCTTCGAAATGATTTCGCTGTACATGGCCACGTGTATGACCGCGTACTTCGACACAACGATCCAGCAATTGTTTCAAACAAGTCTGCGGGACGGCGAAGGTCACGTTGCTCTCCACGCACTGCGGGCCTTCGGTAAGAACACATCCACAGCACTTGAACGTCTAATTCGCAAGGACCTTTGCCTCTTCCATTGCGTACAAAATCCCGATGACTTAATCGAGCAATCGCTCCGTCGTCGCCGAGTGCTTTGCAATTCTGTGGCGATTGTTTCATGTGACCACCGAACCTCCGAATTCACTTGTGTAGGCATGCTTCTGCTCAGCTTGGACGAGCTGGACGAACGCGATCGGTTCCAGCCGCTGCTTCCGTCAATTTTGCATGCGTTGCACTCGATGCATGTCGACGGAAACGAGGAAGACCTGGTGGAGGCGATGGAAGTTCTGATCGAGCTCCTCGAGCCCCACGCGTCGTTTTTCAAACCGATTCTGGTTTGTTGTCCTCGCGTGATTGCCGTCTAAAACGTCCAACACCTTGTAGAAAGAACTCGTCCCGCTCATGGTGGTCCTTGTGTCGACCGGCGCGTCCGACGGAAGCTTTGGTCGCCGCCAGCTCGCCATGGAAGTGCTCGTCTCGATCGCTGAAAACGCCGCGAGCGCGTGCCGCCGGTTTCCTCAGAACGGATTTGTCGAGCAAGTGTTTCCCCTCACGTTTCACCTGATGCTTGACGTGAATGAAGACACGACGGGCGACGAAATGGACGACGCGGAAGACGACATCTCCAACGTCGACGTCGGCGCCGAAGCTCTGCAGCGCATGGCCCAAGCTATCGGGTTCAAAAAGGCCCTCCCGGTCTCGTTTGGGCTCGTGTCGCAATACGCCAGTGCGTCCCCATCCTTGCATCATGGTATAACTTTTGGTCCTTCGTGCCGTAGGCCACCCCGACTGGAAGTACCAGTATGCCGCGCTGATGGCACTTACACAGATCGTCGAGATTGTCCCGTCCGGCCAGCTCCATGCCGTCGTCAAGCACGTGTTTGCCCATGTTCATCCTGACGGTCACCATCCTAAAGTCGTGTCGGTCGCAATTGATGCTCTCGGGCAGCTGGCCACGGACCAAGGGCCGTTGTTCCAGGAACAGTACCACGAACAAACGATTTCTGTCTTGCTGGGTATGGTCTAGAGCGATTTCAAAAATTGTCGTGGAATACTCATCCCCCGTGCTTTGTACAGAATACATGCAAGTGACCGACCGACCGAACGTGCCGCCGAAATGGACGTGGCACTTTCAAACGCACGCGCTGACGGCGTTGCGGCAATTTATCGACACATGTCATCCCGACATGGTCGAGCCGTACTTGGAGTCGCTCTTGGGCAGTTTGTTTGCGCTGCTCAACCTCGGCCACGCGTCGGCGGAAGCCCGATCGGTGCAGGAGTACGCTGTATCGGCGTTGTCGTCGATTGCAGGGTGTTGTGGCGAGTCATTTGGGCGCTTCTTCAGTATGGTGTTTCCGCCCCTAAAACAGCTCCTGTACACTTCGCTTCAAGAACTCCAGCAAGACACGGGTGTGTCCACAATGCTGTGCGGCATCACGCTCGAATGTATCTCGTTGGTACGACCTACTTTGTTGGATTTGGACAACTTCATGTTGGTGGACATGCGCTGAGCACTGACCAACGTCGACAGGTTGGCCTTGCTGTGGGCCCGGCTGTGTTTGGCGCCGATGCCACCGAGATTCTAGACGTGATGACACAAATGCAGCACTCGGCGCAGTATGCCAACGACGAGATCCTGCGGTCGTATCTGTTGCAGGCATGGGCCCGGTGGTGTAAAACGCTGACCCACCATTTTGCGCGGTATCTGCCAGTCGTCATGCCGAGCTTGCTCGACGCCGCCATGGTACGACACCTGAATGCGACACTCTACCTGTATACAAAATGTTCCGAAAAGGCGTGGTCCAAGCTGCTCGAATCCATGTTTTGATTGCCATTTGATTTTGAACTTGTCTGTTCTAATCTGTTGTAGCAACAAGCAGAATTCGAAATGGAGGACCAGGACGACATGGAGGACCAAGACGATGACGACGACGACGTCCAGATCGCGCACATCAACGACAAGTGCGTGAGTATTCGGACGTCGATCTTGGAGGAGAAGGCGACGGCGTGCCAAATGCTGAGCAGCATGGTTGCCGACCTCAAGGAGTCGTTCTTTCCGTACGTGGAGCAAGTCACGCAGGTGCTGACTCCACTGATGACGGACTCGGTCCACACGGAAATTCGCGCCGCGTCCATCTCGGCCATGCCGTGGCTGGTGCTGTCCGTGTCCAAGCATTTGTTGCAACATGGGCCAGCGCCGATGGACAGCCTGAGCCCAGTCGTCCAAATGCTCGAATTCACTCTTGGCCGCCTTCTAAATGCCCTCTCCACCGAACCCGAACTTGATCTCCAAATGACCATCATGCAAAGCATCAAGATGTGTATTTCGCACGCGGTCAACCCGGAACACGACGGCGACGCGACGGTGGCCGCCAAGCAGCCACCCAAGCCTTCGAAGGTGGAATTGCTCAACCATGCGCAGCTGTCTCAGGTACGTCAATGAATTGTGTGGCGCTTCTACCTGCTAGCGACCCACTCTGGGACGTCGTACTCATCGACGCGAACCCTTCGTTTGGTAGCTCGTGGAAGGACTGCTTATTGTCCTTGCGGAGAGCTTCCAGCGTCGCGCGGTGCGCCGGGCACGAAAAGCCATTGAAGAGTTTGACGACGAAGAAAACGAAGCGGAACTGGACAACGACGCGACGGAAGCGCAGTTGCAATTCATCCTGGCTGATTGTTTGGGCAATTTGGCCGAGACCCACCCGTCCCGCTTCTTTCCTGTCTTCCAAGAAACACTCCTGGACAAAGTGCTTGAGGTTCGTGTCGGCCTTCTGTCACAAGTTTGTCTTTGCCAAGGCATTGACAGACGATGGTGGAATGATGTGTGTAGATGGTGCAGCCCCATTGTCTGCCGGAAGACCGAAAGCTCGCCGTGTACTTAGTGGACGACGTATTGGAGCACTGCGAACCCGCTCGCGAACAACTCGCCACATTTGTCCCCCTCCTCCTCGTAAGGCCACCTCTTTCTCCTTCCTTCATTGCCACGTTGTTGCTAATGGGTACCTCGACAAGAACTGCGTCGCAAGCGACTACCCGCCACTACGCCAAGCGGCGTCGTATGGACTTAGTCTGGCCGCCCGCCTCGGCGGCGGTGCATTCGCCCCGTACGTCAACTCGACGGTGGAACTCTTGTGGACGCTCGTGCACGGTGCGGACGCGTGGGAACCGTTCATGCTGAACGCCACGGACAACGCCGTGTCGGCACTGGGCAGCATCCTCCTACACTTTGACAGTTTGCCATCGACGTTGTTTCCGCAGTGGTTGGCGCTGTTGCCCCTCCGCGGGGACGTCGAAGAAAGCGCAGCACTTGTCCAGAGGTTGTGTGCCGCCGTTCACGCGTCACACCGGGTATTGTCGGACTACCCGAGCAACGTCCCGAGTGTTCTGAGCTTGCTGGCCGAGATTTTGAGTCTCCAGTTGTTCGAGTCGGACCAACCAGTGTTCCAAGATATGCAGTCGGCGCTGCACAAGTTGCGAACGATGGTGCCGGACCACGTGATGAAGTCAGTGTGGCAGTCCATGAGCAGTGCCCAGCAAGCGGCGTTGCATGCGCTGTTTGCGTAAAACACTCAACTGTTTTAATTATGATATAGAGCACATCTCCGATTGGACTCGTCGTCACCCGCGTTGGTTGTCGGTGGTGGAGACCAACCACTTGCAGGTCCCACAACACCGGGTCGTCGGTCTTACTCGGCGTGCATCTGCCGCTTGCTCTATGCAGATCCATCGACCCGAATTTTCAAACGTCCCATAGGATGCACCATGATCCCTCTCGTTGTTCAAACCGCACGTGCATTCATCCGATATCATGTTGTTGAAAAGACGAAGCGTTGCGGCACAACCCTTGCTGCTGTTGTCCCAACGAGGTCAACCACAACACAGTCCTGGAGCAGCTATTACCGTGCACATCACCCCTACTTTCACAATGCTCTCCATCAGCAGAATGTCACTGAGTGCGTTCGACACATGAGGTGTATCACTGATGCGTTTTGTTTCGCAAGGACGAGAGAGGCGTGCATCCAACCATAGCCCCTTGATGTCCGCCATGTGCCTGCAGTTGCGCACACCTGCGCTTCCTAGTTTGAAAGTCTTTATCGCCTCTTGTGGTATATATTATATGTTCGACGCAGGGGCCTCTTGCCCCGTATGCTATGCCACTGCAAGGCAGGACCGACGGTGCTCGTGGATAAAGTAGAGCCACACGTTGTACTCAACGTAGGTCGTATCGGTGTCGACCAACGCACATGAAACCGACCCTTCATGTCGGGGAGTAGTTACATTCTTCAGTCGCCCCTGCGTCGTTTGGTGTGGCGACCGCAACGGTGAGCGCGGGTGGCGATCGAGTTGATTCAGAGCGATGGGAAGCGGGGTGTCGTCGGAGATGCGCGACCAGGCCGCGTTCCATATCGTGCAAGACACCTACGCGAAAGGGGTGGCCACTGGCTTGGACGACCACGACCTGTTTGACCTGATTAAGGCCAAGCTCATTCAGCACGAGGTACGACATCACCACCAATTGTTCATTGTGGTCACGCTGTGTTGGTGCAGCACCACGACGAAGAACACCATGAGGAACACCACGACTACGTGCACGAGCTGCCAAAGTCGTCGCGCAGCACACGAAGTATGAATGCCTTGATCAACAAGGTGACGGAAACGACTGGCGATTCGAGTGCAGCATCATCGGCAACTGCAGCAGCAGAAGCAAGGCCGCACACGCCGCCCTTCGCGACAAAGCGAGTGCTGTCCAGTGCGGGCGACGCCGAGCTAAGCGCTGTTGGCGCCAACTACGACAAGCGGCGAATCCACACGATGAAGGTGAACTTCCCCAAAGTTCCTCTAGTCATGCGTGACGTGGATGCGATAGGTTGCGCACTCCAACGACCCGACCAAGTTTCGACGAGCGTCCATAGTGCAAGAAAGTGTGATCGACGCCACGGTCGAGTTCAGCACGGATGTCCTCGTGGAACCGGTGACACTCAAGATGATGACCGAGTTCTGCAGCTCGATTCCGCACGCGGTTGAGCGCCTCATGTTCTGGGTCGACGTTCAGTACCTCAGGACGTTGCCGAGCCCCCAGTACACGGACAAAATGCTGCGCAAAATTTACGAAAAATTCCTGAGCCCCCACGCGGCCACGCCAATATGTGTCCCGACCGACATGACTCGCGCAATCCAAGAAGAATTTGAACGACCCGGGGGCATCCAGTCGGCAGGTAGATGCCGCCTATACAGACGTCACGGGCATGTGGAAGCAGTCAACTGACTCCGCTATGGCCCACTTCCAGGAGTGTACTTGGAAGCCCAAGCGCTGTGTTTGAAAGACCTGGAGAAAGACGTCTTTCCGCGCTTCCAAAAGCACAAGCTATTTGAGAGCATGAAAGCATTGTGCGAAAGCAAAGTCGAGACGGGGAACGGGTAAGGCACACCTCGACATATTCCCCGCGGCAATGAGTACCTTGTCGATTCAAACATGGAAACAGCGCCCCGATGAGCCCTCGGGAAGACAAGTACAGCTTTCACGCAGTGTTGACTGACGACACAAAGCTACGTTTTCTCAAGAGCTACTGCGTTGAAAATTTGACGTTGGGTACGCGTCGCACCTCCACAAGTTGGTCCATGCGTCATGCCCTCTGGACGGTAGAGAATTTGCTCTTCCACATGGAAGTCGAAGAGGCCAAGCGATTACCGAACCAGTCGTACGTCCACGCGTGTGCTCGCAAAGTGTACGAGACATACTTGAAGCCCAACGCCAAGAAATACATCGCCCTGCCTCAACATATCCACGCGTCTGTGGCGGCGAAAGTGGAAGCGAACCAGTTGGATTCTACCACGTTCACTGACGTCCAGTACTATGTCCTGGAATACGTGCGCACGGAGCTCTGGGCTACCTTCTCGTACGCGCTGAACGGCAACCATTCACTTTCACCGGGCGTCACTGTCGTCATGTGGTAGAGTGTATCCCCCGTATGTGGACCACATTCACGAAGGCGAGTTGACACCACGCCATTGGGACAACTACGTTCCCAACGTGACGGAAAACGATGTCAATGCTGTGCTGGTTCAGCTGGAAAAGATGGACCCTGCAGAGTAGGTCTTGCGTTTCGAGTTGGTGCCACGTGTGACGCGCGCTGGTTTGTCCGTGTGTAGCGTCCTGGCCAAGGCGCTGACGTTGCCGATGGACCAGCTCGCTAACGTCGCGCTGGCGCACAAGATCCACCGTGACACGCTGATGCTGTTACTACACGACAAAATTGCGCATCGGATTTTCAAAAAGTTTCTGGCGAGCCGATTGAAAGATCATTTCGTGGCCTTCATTGACGAGGTACGACGATGACTTGGCGATATTCGCTGACTCGTGCGGCGGCCGGAAGGTCGATGAGTTCATCAACTTGCCGGGGATCGAGTTTATGCAGCACACGGCCAAGAAGTTGTACAAAAAGTACTTGAGCGAAAACGCCAAGTTGCAAGTTGACATGAGCAACAAGATGCGCCAAGAGATCCAAGCCAAGCTCAATACGCCGTCGATCGATATGTTTCGACCCGCCATCGTCAAGGTCAAGACAGGTGCTGACCTTTCTTATTTTGTCCACCTAGGTGGGCAGCTGCCTTACGACGATTACTAGGTCTGTTGCAAGACTCGATGGTGCGGTACCTCAAGTCCCCGATTCATTCCGAGATGAAACAAGACAAAGAGAACCCAGAACTTGTTCGGGACCTGATGAGTGCTGTCGACAAAGGCAAGGTCGACCTACCACACCTCGAATCAGTCCTGTCCAACCCGACGTACTTGTCTAACTTTCGAAAGTACTTAAAGTCACAGCACGCCGCGGAGAACCTCATCTTCCTCGAAGAAGTACGTGATGGCGCAGACGTACCAGTTAGGCTGGCCAGGTGAAACTCAACGAATTGCCTTCAGGTCGAAGAGTTTCGACGCCTGCCGTCGTATCAAATAGTTGTTCGCAGTGCCAAAAAGATTGTCGACAAGTACATCAACACCAACGCGGCGAAGAGCCCAATCCCGATCGCCGAGCATCTTCACGACGATATGGTCCAAAACATCGACAAAGCAGGCAAAACGTACTTTTCGGACGCGGTCCAAGACGTGGTCGCGATCTTGCGCACTACCGAAGTCCACGACTTCCTTGACTCCCCGCTCTTCATGGTATGGTCCTTGTGTGTCACGCTGATCTGTACAAAGTGAGTTCTTACCTGCCCTACTCTGCGCATTTAGCAACTTATTGGGTCATGGGTCGTGCTGGACGAGACGTATGCGATTCGTCAGCTCATTGGGGAAGTCGAACTCGCATATTTCAAGCACGTGGTGCCGTTAACCAAGTCAGTGCGTCGGGGACGTGCGGGGTCGACGTCGACTTCGTGATACAAGATGAGGTGGAGCCAACGGGGAATCAAGGAAAGAAAGTCAGTCTCATGTCTCTGATCAACGCATAATCTAGAGGAACCTTTTGCTACGTTGTGTTCGCCCCAGCCCATGAATGCTTCCTCCTACAGCCATTATATTTTGACAAATGAACTGGACATCGGCTGCATGGCCATGCTATTGCATTCCAAGAGAACTGGTCTT